TTCCCCCACGCCGAGAGCCACAAGGGGGGGTCTGTGTGCTCAGCACCTTCTCCTGGCCCCACATGGGCACGGCCTCCTTTGGAGGAAAGTGTGACCTTAGGTCGTGGGGCCTGGGACCCTGTCTGTGCTGCCCCGAACACCTTCAGGACATGAGCAGGCTCCGCCTCCTCAGTCTGGCATCAGGGAAGTGGGTAACCTTGGGTTGACCTTGTGTTGGGGTCTGGGTGCCCTCCTCCTGCACACCCTTGATCGGCTGTGGGAGCCGGGCAGGCTGCCCCCTTCTCAGAACCTCTGTCCCCTCATCTGCAAGGTGTAGGGGGTAGTGACACCTGCCTCCCAGGGTGCTCTGTGACCACACCACGTAAGGACGTCAGACACCTGTGCAGAGTTCCCCTGAGAGTGGTGCTTGACCAGGGGTCACCATGGTGACAGGTGATGTCAGGTGAGGTGACACCTGCAGCAGAGCTGGGAGCAATTCCACAGTTGAGCAGCAACTACCAAGGGGCTCAGCAGTGCCCGGTCCGGCGCCTGGCTGAGCCTCTGAGGGACGTCAGGGGTGCGGCCCGTCCCAGGACACCTGCCTGCAGTGGTGACTCAGGATGGTGCCTGGGGGAGGGGGTGGCCACCAGGAGAGCCAGGTCAGCAGCCCTGGGTGGCCGTCAAGGCCAAGGCATTGCAAGGCTGAGAGACAGGCCGGGGAAGGAACAAGGAGCCCTTTTTATATTCTGGCAGTTTATTAGTTACACAGATAGCGAAAGAGCCACCCAAGGTGCCAGCTCCCAGGGCACTGGCAGGGCAGTGCCAGGACATAGGGGCAGGGGCAAGAGGACTCAGGGGTGCGTCCTTTGCGGGGTGGGTGGGTGGATGAAGAGATTCATGTGGGAGAAAGATGTGGGCTGCTCAAGTCCACCCAGAGGTCAACAGAGGGAGGACGGTGAGGGACCCTTGGACTGGGCCACTTGAAGGCCACTGGTGTGGTGGCAGGTGCAGGGGAGAGCTGGTGTGGCCTGAGGCAGGACAAGAGGAGGCCGAGGAGCCCGGGAGCCCTTGATGCCACCCTGTGGAGGCCAGGAGGGAAGGTGGCATCCCAGACAGGGTCTAGGTTGGGCGGAGAAGGTTATGGCCAGAGGGACGCGGAGCCGACGTGGGGGCCGGAACTGAAGAGTCACAATGGGGTGTCCGTTAGGTGTGGAGAGTCGTAGGGAAATGGGTTGGCCCTGACGGGCCCCTCCAGGGTCAGGTGTGGGTGAGGGGCTGGGGGCAGCTGGGGGCCAGACATCCTACTCAGGAGGGACCCAGTGCCTTGGAGCCCACACGGGTGCCTGGAGAGGTCTAAGAGAGGTCAGAGGTCAGGGGCTCTGCGGAGCGTGCCACGTCACAGATTTAGGGGGCTCCTCACGCAGTCCCTAGGAAGTTGGGTCTCGCGTGTGGTGGCCCCATTTTTTTCGTATCAGGGAAATGAAATCCTCAAAAGGTCACGGATGGACCGTCTTCAAGTCCATCTTTGGATACTTCCTGGGTTAGCTCTACGGGTAGGGTCCCGCCTGTGGTCCCAAGGTGACCTTCACACCGAGGTGCTGAGGCCGACAGAGGCAGGCCAGGCTCTCTGACAGCGCTGGGCAGCCACGGCGCTGGCTGCCCTCACTGCCGCGGCACCAGGCCTGGGCCGGACCTGAGGCTGGGTGCATGCCGGACTTTGGGAACCACAGCTGATTGGTGGCTGGTGGTCTGGGGCCTGGGCGGGCTGGTCACCAGGGGAGCCATTGTTCCAGCCCTGTGCCAACCTCGGTGCCCAAGGGTCTGTGGGGAAGGGGGTGGCCTGATGTCCAATCACAGTGACTGCAGGGAAATGGGGCGCCACGGGTTTCGTGGCGGGGCTGGGGGAAGGGGCGTTGGGGAGGTGGGTCTGAGAGGGCCAGGTGCCCTCACGTCCGACAGCTCAGAGCTGGCGTGTGCTGGGGTGGCTGGTGCGGGGCCCAAGGGTCCCCGAAGTGAGGTCACCCTGCTGGGTGCCCTTCTGCCACCTTCCCCTCGATGCCAGCGACCCCTCTCAGGGCAGCAGACCCTCCCCCAGAGGAAATGGGAAGGGTCTCGTGGGAAAGGGAGGGGGTGGGTTAAGAGGGGCTCAGGAGGGGCAGAGGGGACCCGGCCTGGTCTGTTCCCTGGGAGTCTCACACGTCACCACTCTGCAGCCATCCTGAGCACCCACCGTGCTGGTGTGGGGCCCAGGGAGGACCACTGCTCCCGGGCCCCAGACACGGAGCTCCAGGTGTTCTTCCCTCCGGAGGGCAGCCCGACCTGAAGGTGCTGCTGGGACGTCCTGGATCCTGAGGGAGCAGCTGGGACCAGGGATGGGGAGACTGGGCTGGAGAGCCACCTACTAGGGACTGACTCTCCCGGGCGTGGGGGACACGGTGAGCCCTGGACCAAGAACCAGGACTGGGGACCTTCTTAGGGCCCCTCCCCTGAGTACACCAACTGTGACTTTTTTTTTTTTTTTTTTTTGAGATAAGGTCTCACTCTGTCGCCCAGGCTGGAGTGTAGTGGTGTCATCATATAGCTCATTGCAGCCTTGAACTCCTGGCCTTAAGCTATCCTCCTGCCTTGGCTTCCCAAAGTGCTAGGATTACAGGTGTGAGCCACTGCACCCAGCTGATGCTGATATTTGACCTGGAGGAAGGGGAAGGGGCATGAGGAAACTGGCCACTCGACCCGAAAGCCCTGTCCTCCTTCCTCTGTCGTGGGCTCCCATAACTCTGTCCCCTTGGGCTGGGCTACGAGTCCTGGGTCCTGTGGGCTCTCAGCTCTCCAGGGAGGAAGCTGGACCACGTGGGAGGGCCTGGCAGGGTGGGCCAAGGATGGCTGGGCACCTGAGGTAGGTGGGCCCAGGTTGGAGTCCTTGCTGTGGCCCGAGCAAGTCACTCAAGGGCTCTTGGCTGAGGATCATAATAGGATCTTGCTCCAAGGGCAAGCAGAGGTGAGGCGAGCATTAAGCCTCAGGGGGCCTGCGGGAAGAAGATGCCCCCGAGCTGTGGCTAGAATCACAGTCCCTTCCCTGGGACCCCAGGAGGAGAAGGGGCCATAGGAGACCTGGGAAACGGGCTGTGTCGGCTGAATAAGGGTCCCCTAAGGATGGCCGGGTCCCCAGCTCAGAACCTGTCAATGTGTTGTGTGGCCACAGGGACTTTGTTGAGGAGGGTGATTATCCTGGATTGTTTGGGTGGATCCAAGGTGGGGTCTTTAAAAGCAAAAGAGGGAGGCAGGAGGGTCAGAGTAGGAGGAGATCTGGGGTGGGGGTGGGGGAGAGAGAGAGAGATTTGGAGATGCCACACTGCTGACTCTGAAGACTGAGGAAGAGGCCGCGAGCCCAGGGCTGTGGGCGTCCTGTAGCAGCTGGAAAGGGCTCGGAGTTGGGCACCCTGGAGCCTGCAGAAGGAGCCGGCCCTGCTGACGCCTGACTTTAGCCCCCAGGACTCATTTCAGACTTCTGGCCTCCAGACCCGTGAGACGATAAATTCATGTCACTTTAAGCCACTAAATTTGTGGTCATTTGTTACAGCAGGCACAGGAAACTCAAACAGGAGCCGAGGGAGAGACCACACAGGATGCCCCGCAGCCCCTCCACGCGACACAGGCCGTGCCGCTGCGCCCACCCTCTGCAGCCCCTAGAGCAGCAGAGGGGCCGAGCACCGTGCATGAGGCTGGGGGGGCCCGGGCTGCACTCTCCCCCCACCTAGTAAATAGTGCCCCTCTCCGGGAAGATGGCAGGTGTCTTTCTATGCCACACCCTGAGGAACACCCTCCCTCTCTTTGGTTCCCATGTGGCAAAGCTGGGACAGGAGTGGGGCATAGCCCAGGGGCCTGGGGACACCCAAGTGGGCATCAGACAGGGGTGGGAGTCACTTCGGGCCTGTGGTGGGTGCAGGGTGTTGTGGCTTTATGCCAAGGACCCACTTTGAATCCAGGGGCACAAGCTGGCCTGGCTGGGCCCCCTGGGGTGAATCAGGGGACTATTGCTATGTAAACACCGACCCATCCCCCACCCACCAGTGACGGTGGCCTGATGGTGATGGTGACAGTAACTGCCCCAGCACTGAGGAGGAGCAGCTCAGTCGTGAGCACTTCCCACGAGCCGGCTCTGGGCCGTTGCTGTGTCCGAGGCTCGGGGGCTCACCCATGCCACAGCCCTGATCCCTCAATGCTGAGGCACGGGGTGGAACACGTCCCCACTTTTAACTGTGACAAGAAGCCTGGCTTCAGCCTCGAGAACACCAGTTTCTCTCCAGCAAAGCCTTTGTTTAATCTCATAGAAATCATGAAGTTCTTATTTCCATTTCCCTCCTCACCCTGGACCCCAGGGAGCTCGGAGCTCTCTTTGGCAAGCGTCTGGAGCCTCCTGACAGGTCTTTGGTGTGAGTTTCCTTCCTGGCTTCCTCCTGTTCCTCTTACACCTCTGAACCTGCACTTGGGGAAAAATCCGAGTGGGCCCCAAATTTAAGAGCTTGTGAAATGGACGGCGCTGGAGTGTCCTGGACAGCCCGGCTCTCGGGAGTGAGAGAGACGAGTGAGCGTGGCAGGAGCCGAGCTGGGCAGAGGAAGGAGGGCGTTCCAGGGGGCAAGGGCTGGGTGCAGGGGCCGGGCCCAGAGCAGAGTCTCCAGGCTGAAGGAAGAGGAGACTCAGGATGAGTACGGGTCCCAGCACCTGGGCAGGGAGAGTAGTGTACCTGGAGGCCGCGGCCACGCACAGCGGGCGGCTCTGTCCAGGAAGGAGATAGGGAGTGGGGCTCCCTGCGGGAAGGAGGAGAGGGAGGAGGAAAGGGCAGAGGCACTGACACTCAGACAACCAGCTCCTCGGGTCCTGGAGTGTTTTTCTGGCGAGACTTGAGCCTCTTCCCTGAGCTGTTTCTCCACTGGGTGCCAGGATTCCCCAACCCCCCACTGAGAGCCAAAGGGCAGTGTCAAATCAAACATGAGAGGAGAAGTAATGAGATGGAGCAGGATTTCTGATTGACAACGAGGATATTTATTGAGGGTTCATCGGGTGCAGGGCAGGGGGGGATGAGCTGGGAGGGAGGGGAGGCCCCTCCCCTGGCCCCTGCAGCTCCAGGCCCCGAGGGCGGTGGGGTCGGGGCCTAAGCACACTCTGCAGGGGCCACTGTCTTCTCCACGGTGCTGCCTTCGTGCGTGACCTGGCAGCTGAACCTGCCGCCAGCTTTCCACTGGGCGGGGGACAGGCTCAGGTAGCTGCTGGCCGCGTACTTGCCGTTGCTCTGTTTCGAGGCCTGGGTGGTCTCCACGCCCTGGGTGACGGCGCTGCCGTCTGCCTTCCAGGCCACGCTGACGGCGCCCGGGTAGAAGTCACTCATCAGACACACCAGTGTGGCCTTGTTGGCTTGGAGCTCCTCAGAGGGGGCAGCCTTAGGTCCACCTGTGGTGTGGGGAAGGCACAAAAGTCAGAGGCCTGTGTCCATCTGGGAGCCCCTGACCTCAGTGTTGACCAGGGGTTCAGGACCCGGGCCTGGGGCAGTGATGTCAGGCCGGGCCCTTGCCAGACTG